CAGTAACAAAAATAAGAAGTTTTCTGGGTTTGGCTGGTTATTACCGGAGATTCATTAAAGAATTTTCAGCCATGGTGTTGCCATTGACCCGTTTGACCCGGAAGGATACTCCATTTGTTTGGACACAAGAATGTGAAGAATGCTTTCAGAGCCTTAAGGAGAAACTGACGACCGCTCCGGTGTTAGTACTTCCCGACCCGGAAGGTGAATTTGAGCTATACAGCGATGCTTCCAAGAAGGGATTGGATGTGTACTGATGCAAGATAGGCGAGTGGTAGCTTATGCATCGAGGCAATTGAAACCGCACGAAGAAGGAGCTGAATATGAGACAACGACGGTGGACCGAGTTCCTAAAGGACTATGATTTTGAATTGAAATATCATCCTGGCAAGGCTAATGTTGTAGCTGATGCACTGAGCCGAAAATCCGTGAGTATATCAAGCATGATGATCAAAGATTATGATGTGATTGAGAGGTTCAGAGATATTCAATTATCTAAAAATTTTCCATGTAAAATTTGTGGCTTTGAAATCACAAGCATTGAGAATGAACTGATGACCAGAATTAAAGAAGCTCAACTGCAAAATGAAAGTGCTAGACGACTAAAAGGTCAGAGTGGTGTATCCTGCAATGATGAGGGTATACTATTATATCAGGGTCGTGTAGTTGTACCTAGGCAGTTGGCGGAAGAAGTGATGACAGAGGCTCATAAGGGTCATTTTACAGTTCATCCGGGAGCTACAAAGATGTATCAGGACCTAAAGATGAATTTCTGGTGGCCTGGTATGAAGAAAGATATTGCCGAATTTGTCTCTAAGTGTCTCATTTGTCAGAAGGTAAAGATTGAGCATCAAAAGCCTTCTGGTATGTTGCAACCTCTGGATGTTCCTGAATGGAAATGGGAGAGTATCTCCATGGATTTCGTAGTGGGATTGCCGCGAACACAGGCTAGTTATGATTCTATATGGGTGATTGTGGATAGATTGACAAAATCCGCACACTTTTTGCCAGTTCGGGTAGATTTCTCTGCGGAGAGATTGGCTAGGCTCTATGTGAAGGAGATTGTGAGGCTTCATGGGGTGCCTGAGAGCATTGTTAGTGATCGGGACCCGAAGTTCACTTCTCGCTTCTGGGGAGCATTGCAGGAGGCTCTTGGCACTCAGTTGAGACTGAGCACTGCTTATCACCCACAGACGGATGGTCAGACTGAGAGGACCATTCAGACGTTGGAGGATATGCTGAGGGCTTGCACCCTGGAGCAGGGTACTGCATGGGATCGATATCTCCCGCTGGTTGAGTTTTCGTATAATAATAGTTTTCATGCTAGTCTGGGTATGGCTCCCTACGAGGCCTTGTATGGTCGCAGGTGTAGGACACCTACTTGTTGGTCAGAGGTTGGAGACACAGAGCGGTTTGGATTGGTTTTTGTTCAGGAGACTACTGAGCAGATTAAAATGATTAAGGATCGTCTGAAAAAGGCTCAGGACCGTCAGAAAAGTTACTATGATCTCAAGCATCGACCTCTAGAGTTTGAGGAGGGAGATCATGTGTTCCTGAAGCTGTCACCAGTTACGGGTGTGGGACGAGCCCATGGAGTGAGGAAGCTGAGTCCGAGATTTATTGGACCCTACCAGATTCTTCGTAGGGTGGGACCGGTTGCCTACCAGCTTGCCTTACCTCCGCAATTGGCAAATTTGCATGATGTGTTTCATGTTTCTCAGCTGAGGAAATATGTAGCTGATCCTTCTCACGTGGTTCAACCTGATAATGTTGAAATCCGGGAGAATTTGAAGACTCCTTTTGGGCCACTGAAGATACTCGAAAGAGATGAGAAGAAGCTGAGAAATAAATCTATTCCTATGGTGAAAGTCCAGTGGGAAGGAAGGACGCCTGAAGAGTCCACTTGGGAGCGGGAAGATGAGCTTCTCCGGCAGTATCCTGAGTTTAAGGACAGGTACGTTCTTGATTTTGCGGACAAAATCGCTGAAAGGTGGGGTGACTATAATAGCCCATCTTAATTAATTAGTAAATCAAGTGTAATTAATTAATTAAACATGTTTTAGTGAGTGAAATTAAGTATAAGGCTTAATTAAATGAATCTGAGTCACTTTGGAGTTAAAAAGTGTACTCAGTGAAAATTAAGGGGTATAAATGGGTACTGGCAAAAGTACCCAAAATATAAAAATAAAAATAGTAATATTCCTAGAATAATATTCCAGACTTTTGGGTAAAGTTTGGTAATTATTGGAGTTGAATAGATAGACGAACCAATGCCCACATGTTACCACTTAACCTATGTTAAGTGATAAAGTAACCAAAAGAGCCCCAAACCCTCCCATTCCCGTCGACGCCAGAAACAGAAGAGAAGAGAGAAAGAAGAGGAAGAAAGAGAGGGAGAGAGAACCTAGGGGGAGCAAATCTCAACCATTTTGAGTGATTCAAAAGCCTAAATCGCTTAGAATCTCCTCCTCTTTCATAATCCTTGCTTTTTTTTGAGTGGGGAGCATTGTGGAGAGGGATATTGCCTCTCAAAAATTCGGCCATTGGAGAGATTTTGGAGTTTTGGGAAGTTCAACCTCCATGGGAGCTTGAGGAACACTCCTTGCTTGGTTGTGTGACCATTGGTGGTAAGATTCTAACCCTTGAACCTCATGATTCCTTGAAATTTGCATGAGTTAGGGTTTATGAATAGTAAATTGGGATTTTGATGAAATGTAGTTGAATTAGCTATGTTCTAGGAAGAATGGAGCTTAGAGCATGTTATGGAAAATGCTAGGAATGTCATTTAATCGGTGAAAATGAGCTTAGATAGCTAAATGAGTATACTTGTAAAATGGCAAGAATATGATGCTTGATATTGGATTTCTTGCATTGTTGATAAATGGTATGGCTTGGTTGATTGATGATTGTGTCCTAATGGTGTCTAGGATTGAGACATTTGGACCGACCGTGAGTGATCAACCGCTTGAACAAGCTATGGAGCTTGAGTAGCTCATTGGAATTGGTAAGCTCACACTTGTGTGGTGTTTTGAATTGAGTATTTGATGGTTGATTGTGAAATACTCTTGGATGCAATGTGTTGATTGCATTACACCATGTGTAGGTGTTGGTTTTGGAGTAGAGTATTGTTGACATTGGTGAAGAACAAAGGTCGACTGAAGCATTGAGGTAAGCCTTCGGACCTTGGGTGTAATTCCCTTGACTGTTCTACCAAGCCCTGAAAGGGTAGAGGTTGTGATTTTGTATATAAATGCAATAAAATAGTGTAATGCTTTGTTATACGTATGTGTATGCATTTGGTGTGGCATAGGATGGTGTTTCCCTATGTGGGTATGTTGCATGACGATGCGTAAATCATACATGGTAGTTAGCTGGCCAGTAGGACTATTTGCATCTGAGTTTCCTTAGGACAGCTTGAGAGCTCGAGGGATTTCTCCTAGAGATGTAGTGCACTTTGCATAGATATGTATTTACTGCATTATTATTGTTATTGCTATTACACTGATATGGAACTGTGGGGTGGAGAGATGCTCCAAGGACCCCTGGTTTACTGGATATATTCGTATATCTCACCCCGTGTTGTGGGGACCCCCTTTCAGGTAAGGATGCTGCAGGAGCCTCTGGTGGCAAGTGGCCATATCTGGATTATGCATGAAATATGGCATTTCTTTGAGTTTATGCATGCCTTTTGTAGTTGACATGTATAGGATTTTATTTTGAAAGCCCATGGTCATTTGTATATCTTGATTCATTGGATGAACTTAGCCTATGCTCATGCCTTTGGTTACACCTTTTGTTGATGGGAGCCAAGGGAATGATCATAGTGTTTTGTAAGCTAAGTTCTATGATTTGTAAAGGATATGTAATGTAAATGATGCCTACTTGAAATTCAATATATGCATGCTTGTTATGTATTGAGTTGTTGAATTGGTTGGGCTGAAAATCAATTAGGTACCCTTTTGTTTAAACTGGTAAACGATGAGAAAACAAAGGTCATGCTGCCCAAATTCTAGCTAAATCTCATGAGGAGAGGTTGGATGAGTGCTAGGATTTAGTTTTGGGGCATGGACAATTGGGGTTTGTAATGGGGATGCATTTTCCCCTAGGCTTGGACTTGAGAAATGTGGGAATTGGAATTCCCTGGCAGCGCGCTTAAGCGCCCAGGAGCGCGCCCAAGCGCCCTGCTGCCCCTGCGAGTGCCAATGCATTCTGCCTCCTTGCGCTGGAGCGCCCAAGTGGGGGCTTAAGCGCCCAGGATTGCGCGCTGGAGCGCCCTGGCGTGCGCTTAAGCGCCCTTTGCTGCAGAAAGTTGGGTGGCTTACTGCCCCCTCATGTTTTAGCGCCCAGGGTGGGGCTTAAGCGCCCAGGGTTGCGCACTTGAGCGCCCTAGTCCGCGCTTAAGCGCCCTTCGCCACTGAAGGAGGAGATGCTTCTGTCTCTGCGCGCTAAAACGTCCCCGTGGGAGCTTGAGCGCCCAGGATAGCGCGCCCGAGCGCCCTGTTGCGCGCTTAAGCGCCCATCCACACTGGAATGCCTGATGCTTACTGCCTCCGTGCGCTTAAGCGCCCAGATGGAGGCTTTAGCGCCCGATAGCGCGCGCTTGAGCGCCCGGTAGCGCGCTGAAGCGCGCGGGGCCTGTGACCAACACTCTCTTGTGTTGCTTCAATTTGTCCTAACTTGGGCTACAGTGCTCCGATTTGAGCGCGGTTTGAAGCCACGCATAGCTAATGAAGAAACCTACAATATAGTAGAAGTTGTGAACATGATGTTAAGCTTAATTTATCTGTTTCCGCAAGGTAATATGGTTATGGTCACGAAAATGGGTATTATAAGTTCGGTACGTTTTAAAATGAAAAATTTATCCGGATTTTAATTGAACCCATGTGATTGTAATTGCGCTTAATATCATAATGCGATGTTAACAAACCGGTTCTAGAACGGGGTGTTACAATTGATACATCAAGTACACCAGAGATACGGAAGATAATGACACCTGAGTTGGTATATCAAAGAAGGAAACAACCCACATTGCCTCAGCAGCAACCTCAATCGTCTGAACCACTGGTAAGTCCTGAATCTCATATTTCTGATCATGATGTTAATACTTCTGATGACTTACCCATTACTACTGATTCTGATGATTTACTCATTGCTCTTAGAAAAGGAAAAAGAGTTTGTCCCAAGAAATCTTGTCCCTCTTGTACTCAATACCCTATCTCCCTTTTTGTTTCCTCTGCTAATCTTTCTGTGCGGCACAAAAGCTTTGTTTCAGCACTAGACTCTATTGCAATCCCAAAATCAGTACATGAAGCCTTGAAAGATGGGAATTGGGCTCAAGCCATGCAAGAGGAAATGAATGCGTTGGAGAAAAATAAAACATGGGAGGTTATTGATAGACCTAATGGAAAGAAAGCAGTAGGGTGCAGGTGGGTTTATGCTCTGAAATATAATTCTGATGGAACTCTTGAGAGATACAAGGCTCGATTAGTTGCCAAAGGTTACACTCAAACCTATGGCATTGATTATGAAGAAACATTTGCTCCAGTTGCAAAGATGAATACGGTGAGAGTCTTGTTATCCCTTGCTGCCCATTACAATTGGGATATAAATCAATTTGATGTGAAAAATGTTTTCCTCAATGGTGAGTTAGAAGAAGAAGTCTATATGGAAATCCCGCCTGGTTTTGATTCTGTGAAGGGGGAAAATAAAGTTTGTAGATTAAAAAAGGCCTTGTATGGATTGAAGCAGTCACCTCGTGCCTGGTTTGGAAGGTTTACTAAGGTTATGATGACCTTAGGATACAGACAGAGTCAAGGAGATCACACTCTTTTCTTCAAGCACTCCCATAATGGGAAGCTTACTGTGCTCCTTGTATATGTTGATGATATTATTATCACAGGTGATGATTTTGTGGAGAAACAGTTTTTGCAAACACGGCTTGCCTCTGAGTTTGAAGTCAAAGACCTTGGGAAACTGAGATATTTCCTAGGGATAGAAGTAGCTCATTCAAGGAAAGGAATTTTTATTAGCCAGAGGAAATATGTTCTTGATCTTCTCAAAGAAGCAGGAAAGCTCGGGTGTAAACCCTCTAATACTCCTATTGAGCAGAATCACAAGATAGGCTATGAAGAAGAGAGTCCTCTAGTTGATAAAGGACAATATCAACGGCTAGTTGGGAAATTGATATATCTGGCTCATACTAGACCAGACCTAGCTTATGCTATTAGTGTTGTCAGTCAGTTTATGCACGATCCAAAGGAGAAACACATGTAGGCAGTAGAGAGAATTCTGCAGTATCTTAAAGCTACTCCTGGTAAAGGATTGTTATTCCGACGTGATGGCAATCTCTCTTTAGAAGTTTACACTGATGCTGATTATGCTGGATCCGTGACTGACCGTCGTTCTACCACTGGTTACTGCATGTTTCTTTGTAGTAACTTGGTGACATGGAGAAGTAAGAAACTAGATGTGGTCGCCAGATCAAGTGCAGAAGCTGAATTTCGAGCTATGGCTCAAGGCATTTGTGAGTTACTGTGGCTGAAAATTATACTTGATGATCTCAAAATAAAATGTGAGGGACCTATGAAACTGCTATGTGACAATAAGTCCGCTATTTGTGTAGCTCATAATCCGGTTCAACATGATCGGACTAAACATATTGAGGTCGACCGTCATTTCATCAAAGAGAAACTTGATAGCGGGTTGATTACCACTCCATACATTTCCACTGGGCGTCAATTAGCTGATCTATTGACAAAGGGACTTCCTTCAAACAGATTTCAAGAATTTACTAGCAAGCTGAGAATGATAAATATCTATTCCTCAGCTTGAGGGGGAATGTTGTAAATATTTGTTATTTTATTATTATTAGTATTTGTTATATTGGGCCAAACTCATTAGGTCAAGTATTAGGGTTTTCATTCTCTATAAATAGAAACATCTTTGTACAGATTATTTACACAATTAATAATATTTTCTAATTACTCTTTTCAAGTTATTTACATTGATTCTGTGCAGGTTGAGGTGGAACGCATTGATATTGGTGAGCCTGAGAATACTGGTATGTATGATATGGTTAGAAGTTTTCTGTGATGGCATATCTGGACTCTGTGTTGAGTTCATAGATTAATTGATTTTCTGGTAGTCTAGTTAGATAACACATAAGATATCTTGCATAAAGTTTAGTTCTTGATGAGGGGTAGGGAGGGTATACTAAGCTTTCCATTGTCATCATCAGGACTTGACTGGATATATTCTGTTAATATACTTCAATCTGTGAAGAGTTATTTATGATATCAACAGCAGTGTAGTTGTCTTCTATTCTATGCATGCTTTCCAACTCAGACAATTTTTGTGTTGTCTTTGCTGCTTGCTACAATTTTCACTTTGTCTTCTGCGCACATACAAAAGGTCATTTTTGCTGGATGTGTGCTTTGTTGTGGCTTTATTAATTTCAGAAGTGCTGCATTTACAGTTGATGAAATGGTTTGAGTGACTATGCTATTTATCTATTGAACTGAGATTAATTTAATGTTGTACTTATCATATGACAGGCATCAAATCTGGTTCTAAGAGGTCATCTGATCATCTAAATGAACCACCCATTATATCTGCTACCTCCTCACCAGGTGCCAAAAATGAAGTCGAGGAACATCAAGATATAGATATTAATGATCTTTTTGGCAATGGAACACCTGAGGATGACAATAATGCTGAAGAAAAAGATAATGTTGGATTTGACATGAATGTTCCGCACACTGATGATGAGATCGCTGATGTGGATGACAGTGGTGATGAGGTAGACAAAGGACCCAATGCTGCAGAAGCTCTCAAAGCCCAGATGCAGAATGTGACTGCAGAGGGGATGCGTGCCCAGGTGAATGCAGAGGGGAAGGATGAGCAAACATCTACTTCTAGCAGTAGCAGTGGAAGTGGAAGTAGTGAAAGCGGTAGTGGTAGTGGGAGCAGCACTAGCAGTGACAGTGAAGGCAGTGATGAAGACTCGGTTAACTCAGTTGAAATTATATAAATCGGGTGTTTCTTTCTTTTGCTTTTTATCATTTGTCATTGTTTTTGCAGATAGTCCAATACATAAAATGTATTTATTAAACCTGGCTTAGAAGAATACAATAAGCCATCCTGATTTTAAAAGTTGGGGATTTTGTTAATATTGAAACTAGTGTGATTATTAGTGTGTTGATGGTAAATGATATGCTATACTTGATGTGTTTATATAAGTTGTCTTTAGTTTGGTTTGCCGTTAAAACATGTGAAGCAACTTCTAAGCAATTCTTGGATGAATTATTTGTGAGTGTTGGAAGGTAAAAATTTAATTAATATTATTCATAAAAATAAAATATATTAAATGGGGCGCAAAGAAACATTTTTTCGGAAAATTTTGAACTTCCGGGGTTTGTTAGTGTAAAGATCTTGAAAAGTTATATGAAATAAAAAAAAAAGCACTTAATTCAGATATTTGAGTCAAAAGTTATCATTTTATGAAGTTTTATGTTAAAATTATTAAAATTTTGTGCCACGTCAAACGGAGTAATATTTGATTTGAAGTTAATCGATTACACCTTATGGGCAAAGTTAATCGATTAAATAAAAATAAAAATGATTATCTTATTATGTCATGGCAAAGTTAATCGATTAAATAAGAATAGTAATGATTATCTTATTATCCCAACACTTCATCAATTGCTTGATTTAGTCAATGGTCAAATAAAGATAGATTGATGTATAGTTTTGGGATAAGGGCTTCTCACCGTGAGTTACTCGAGTACAAGACCTTACTACTCGAGTATCTTGTGACATACTTGAGTATCCGGATCACATACATAAGTACAAACACATGACGCATCCCGCTTCATCTCAAGAAATGTACTCAAGTGTGTGGATTATGTACTCGAGTATGAGATCCATTCAAGGGGCATATTGATATTATATATAGAGAAAAGAACAAATACTTTAAGTGCTCGTTTGATTGTACTTTTTAAAAAAGTAATTTTTATCTCTTCCTTATTTTAGAAGTTCTTTTTACAAAATGTAAAGCTATTTATATTTTTATAAAAATATTTAGATTTTGAAAAAAATATTTGGCTTTTGACTTCTATTTTTTTTAGAAGTTAAAATTTTTAACTTCAGAAAAAAGTAGGTTTTTGACTTTTTTTGTGACTTCTGTTTTTTTTAAAAGCAAACATCCAACCGAACTAAAAATGAAAAGTGCTTTTTTTCACACAAAAAAAAAAGCAACATCTGGAGAGAAAAAATCCCATCCAAATAGGCCCTAAATAGTTTAGAAATGGGGGTATAATATGACAATACAACAATAGAAATTTACTGAGATACATGCTGGATATATATATATATATATATATATATATATATATATATATATATATATATATATATAGGGACAGGATCATCTTACACCGGTGTAAGAATAATAAGTCTTACACCAAATTTTAACCATTGATTTTCTACATCTAACGGTTAAGATTTATTAGGTTTCACTCATTAATTAATTTTTAATTTCCAATAATCTTAACCGTTAGATGCAGAAAATTAACGATTAAGATTTGGTGTAAGTTGATCCTATCCCATATATATATATATATATATATATATAGGGGCAGGATATTCTTACATCGGTGTAAGAGTTAAAAGTATTAAGGAAATATCATTACAATTCAATGATTGTTACATTTTAAAATAAACAATATTTTATGGGTTATATTACTCTCATGTTACATCAGAGTAATATAACTTCCCACAGATTTATCGATTCTTTTTTCTCTTTTTTAATAGATAGATAGACCCATCACATGATTGTATTTACAACATGAGATAATATATCTCTTATTACATGAGAGTAATATAACCTATATTTTATTAATGAATATGGTATTGAACATTTCATACGGTTTCATTGACATAGTTTGCAAGGAAGTTGTAAAACAACTATATCACCTAACAGCTTAAGTTTATAAGTAATGGATTTTCAATATATATCTCTTTAACACATTCTTTCGCATAAGAGTCATTTACACTTGAAGTGTGTATATTGCATATGTACATTTTTTTTGTTCTATTTTATGCTCACTTAATTTCACTAGAAATTGAGAGATACTGAGATAGTGAGAATCAAACTTGTGACCCATAATAACCTTGGTTTTTATATCATGATAAGCATCAATTCAACCCAATATTTTAAGCTTAAGCTTATAAGTGATAACTTTCTATCATTTTGTATTGTATCTTTCAAATAGAAGTCTCAATTTATATCTCCTCTTTCTAACTTGGACAACGAGAGCACTAGAAATACAGGAAGAGGCCTGGATAAGACCCAAGGCTACTACTCATCGGCCTTTTAATAAGCAGACCAAATGAACATAGCAACATGGGCTGTGTCGAGGACTAGATTAGCATCACGGGCTTATGCAAAAGGACAGATTCTCCAATCTTCAAACCTGGGTCCATATCATGGATCCAGTCGTGGTATCTGTTTTATGGAGTGAATTGAGTAATGTCATTAACACAATTACACAAGCAAATCTTATCTCTATGGTTTTGTTGACCCTTTATTGTATTGATATGGACATCAAAAAGGGTAGTTTTTATACACTTTTATGTTTTATGGAGTGAATTGAGTAATTATTTTTTGGGGATCTTGGCTTAGTAGCTAAGATTAGTTTTTATATTTGTGAATCTCTGTCTCTGCCTTGACAGCATTGGAAACCTCTTCCTCTGTGGTACCAAAGATATCAGGACGGGTCCGAGCAAGTCCAACAATGTTTCTTGATATTTCATCATCTTGAGCCAGAGTTGTCTCTCGAATTTTGGCAAACATCCTTTCTTTTTGTTCTTTGTACTTGGGATCAATGAGAGAAATTCGCATATGTTCTGACATTTCACTAATAGGAATTAGCTCACCAGTAATGGGAGAAACAACAAACTTGGTTGAATCTCTTTCAGCAGGAATCCTCTCCTCTGGTCTCTTCCAGTTCTTCACAATCCTCATCGGTGGTTCAGGGTCTTCAGTAACCCTGACTTCATTCTTCTTCTCATCATCATTATCTTCCAAACTAGCAGCTCTCATGCCCTCTTCAACAAGTTGGGCCTCTTCCTCATCCATTTCCATTTCTACCTCCTTTCCTGGCTCAACAATATCTTCTTCCATGGCCGACACCTTGCTTCTCCTTATAACCTCCTCAATGGTCATTAGAGGAGGTAACTCTTCATCCTCATCATCAGCAAAATCAATCATTTCAACCACCACAAAATCATGCCAATCAATCATAGCCATCTGTAACCTTTCCTGCTCTATTTCATCCTCAGCTTTTTGCCTAGCTTGCTTTTGTGAACGCTCCCATTCGAGCCTATTCACACACCTTTCAAGGACAGTAGTCATGTCAGAAACACTTTTCTTCAGCTTCTCTGTCAAACCCTACAGAGGCATCAAAACCTTTGAATATGCATCCGCAAGGGAAGTAAAAAAAGTAAACATGCTGTGGGTTGGTTTCAAGAAATGGAATTGGGGGTTATTAACTTCCCTACTCGTCAATCCTGTCAAGAAAGATTTCCCATTTCGAGCAACAAACTGTGCTGTAAGCTTTATAATATCCAGCTCTTCCCCCGTAATTCCTTCCGGAAGCCGAACTGTATACTGCTCAACTTCAGGGGGTTCAAGAACTTTCCTCACAGGTTTAAACTGGGCAGAAATATCAGGCTTTTCGGCTGCTGCCACACCATTACTATCAGGGGCCGGCGCAGAGGGGGCTAATTCAGGAACAGCAGAGTCTGCAGACTGCAAAGGAGGTTGCACAGCAGAAGATTGATTCTGAGCACGAAATTCAGCCAATCGATGTTGATAGTACGCATGATAGGGATCTGATGAGTTCAGGAAATTAAACTTGGCATTGCCTGTGCTTTTAGCAATAATCGTCTTTTCAAACTCTGGACCTTTTTTAGCCACAAACTGGGCGGTTTTATCAACAATGGTTCTAATGTCTGGAGGGGGATGTATAATTCCAATAGTTCTAGTGTGGGTGGCAACTGTTGCTGATGCCGGAACAAAAGCTGAATTTGATTTATTTAGCACCTCATTTAAGGATTTCTCATCCCTCTCCTCCTCAGTCACTTGAGACTCTGGGAGAGGAACTAGATTTCCATCAGAAGGAGGAGCAGGGAGAGGCAATATAGGCAATGAACCTAACATGATGTAAATTCCTAAAACACTTCAAACATTTAGGTAATCATATAAAGTGAAATGAAAGAAAACACCAAAGCAACCTCTTGCTAACTAAATCAATCCCCTGCAATGAAAACAAAAAGAAAGTGAAAAAGTAGTCCAAATTAACTAAACTTATCAAGCTATTTGACAAGAAAGTATAAGTGGAAAAAACATCCAAGTACTATTTGACATAACAATAAAAATCATAAAGAAAACCATATTATTGATGATATATAGATTATAATAAATTAATATATAGACTTCGTTTGTATTCAGATGCGAAATTGAAAGAGAAAGAAAAAAAGAGGTTAATTTCCGCTGTTCAAATCTAGTGTAAAAAAGAAAAACGAAAACAACAAAATCTTATGTACCAGATTCTTCAGCACACAAAATCCAATCTGCAAACGAAGATCGGTGAGAATAATTTGGAACAGCAAAGATGAATTATGCAGAAGACCTAAGTGCGAACAAGGGTTCTTACTTCTTAGATTACAGAGGGGTGGGCTTCTTATTATCGAGCATAAAAAAAGAAGTACTTCTTGGGTGGGTCGATGGTCATGGGCTGGGCTAGCTAAGGCCCAAAACTGCTAACCGCCTAACTTCCTATGGGAGATAATTTTCTATTTTTCTTCAACACTAATGTTGTAGTTGTACGGTCAAAATATTTAATAAAACTCAGTAATTTTTTTAATATTTATAGATAAATCAAAACCGAACCATATTTATTGATAAGTTGATAGTAACAAGTAACAACGATTTATTTCGGAAAAAAAATTCGGCCTTTTTTTTTAACAGACCAAGTTATTATTATTGTTATCGACTCTTATACAGACCAGATAGTCAAACAAAAATTTAAGACGTATTTTTAAACTAAATTGTGTTTTGGGAATAACATCTGTCATTCTAAAGGATATAAGCTTATATCATTTTAGATCTTAACCGTTGATTTTCGTCTATCGACGGTTATAATCTATTGGGTCAAAATTATTAATTAATTAATAATAAATTTGACCCATTAAGTTTGACCCAATAGATTATAACCGTTGATGAACGAAAATTAACGATTAGGATCTAAAATGATGCAAGTTTATATCCTTTAAAAAGATATATGTTTTGATGTAAGTTTATATCATTTAAAAAGATATATGTTTTTTCCATTGTGTTTTAATGAAAATTTCGTTTTTGACTTTGTTTACATAATTATCTCTTTGTTTATTAGATAAGACATATTTTATTTTTTAATAAGAGAAGACGTATTTTAACTTAATTTAAACAAAAGAAAGTTTAATAATTATCTCTTCTACCTTTTTTATTAAGTAAATTTTTTAAGATTATTCTGGCTGGTAAGGGTGTTCATCAACCGATTCAAACCACAATGACCGAACCGAAAAACCGATAACCGAATAAACTGAAAAATCGAAAATCGAAAAAAAAACCCGCAAATTTTAATTGGATTAGATCGGTTTTTGGATGGGTTGATGAAAACCGATCCAATCCAAACTGGTCCAATATATTAATTTCCCTCTACCTACTTGGATCTTTTCCTAATCATAGCCTAAAAATTTCTAAATTAAAGACTCATTAACCCATCAACTAAACCCAAGAAAAAATCTAGTCACATCTCATCAACACAATTTAATCTTTGTAGAGCTTCATTTCTCATTTCCAAAAAAAAAAAACTATATTATAGTTTGCTAATGCTTTTGTATTTCAAAAAAAAAAAAAAAAATTTACAAAACCAATATATACAAAAGATATTATTTGCACAATAATCATGAAATAAATTTTAGGATTTTCAAAAAACCGAAAACCGATCCAATCCAAACCGAAAAAAATTGGATTGAATCGGATCGGATTTGAAAAAAAATTCAAACCGAATGGATGATTATATGATCAAACTAAAGGGATTAGATCAGATGATTTTTGCTTCCAAAATCAATCCAATCCAGACCGCGAACACCCCTACTGGCTGGCCCAATAAGTTAGACCCAATATTAATAGTTCATATCTACAACTTTGTATAAGGCCTCTCATAATGAGCCAAACTCATAACAGAGAATCCCCTTATCCTTGCACTGTTGTTCACTGTGCACTGTGGACGGAGCATGCATGCCTTGTCTCAGAGACAAGGTTTAGTTAGGTGGTACAGCTCTACTTTGTTCTCTTTGAATATCCCTTCTCCTATTTAAGAGAGAATCTCTTTTATTCTATTCATAAATTGTTACTCTACAAAAATATAAAGTCACCAAAGTCATTTACACACTCACCATTTGAGATATAGCACCTGAGAAACTCTAATAGAGTCTTGATCTTTATAATTGCTACTACGTTGACATATTTCACCCCTTCAGGGATGCATCTTCAACTCTATAAGGGAAGAAAACGTGTATTTTCTTAATTTATTAAAAATGTATATCGAAGATGAAAAAAATATTTGTTATTTTAAAGGATGTTTTGTGTCATTTTAAGCGAAACAACGTGTTTTAATGTATATTTATTGATTTTTTACATTCTCTCTTTTCTGCATTGCTTTCTTTCTCTCCCTACTTAACTTTGTGGAAGAAAGAGAATGTAAAAGGCTAACAAATATATATATATATATATATATATATATATATATCAAAACACAATTATTTTATTTAAAATTACACAAAATTATAACTAATTTTTTCTTAAAAAATTCTAAATTAAGAAAAATAATTAAACGGTGGAAATGAAAAGTGGGAAAAATCATAATTAAAAAGAATTTTAAAAATTAAAATTTAGGGGAAATATCATGCAATAATTTTTATATTGTAATAATATAATGCAATAGATGGTCATGATTTTTTTTTATACCGATGTAAATTATACTTTTAATCTTAACCGTAAATCTTATTTATATCTAATGATCTGGTTTATTGTAGATGTGAACCGTTAAATGCAAACAAATCAATGTTTATAATTTCATGCAAAACCTCCTCTTCTTAAATAGATATAAGAATAACATGTGATAAACGTCACTTCAACCCAAACCTCTTAAGGTATTATGTGAGACTAAATTAATTATTTTATATCTCTCTAACACTCTCACTCACGTAGGAGTTCTTTGGGCTTGAAGTGTGGATATGGCACAAGCCCATTATTGATTTGCCTTGTGCTGCACAAGCCCATTTTTTTTGTCTACCTTGTGTTTTTTCTTAATTCCACCTGAAAATAGGACAGTGAATATCAAACTCGTGGTCACTAAAGCTCTATATAAACGTCACTTCAACTTAATGCCTTAAGACATTAGATAAGATTAAATTAATTATTTTATATCTCTTTGATAACATGACTCAAACAAAAAGAAAGATAAACATTGATACTTAAACCGTTTATTAACAAAGAGTTGACGTATTGACTACCAAAAAAATATAAAAAGAGTTGATGTCTTGATTATACAACTTTCAAGGTATTAGAGAACATGGCTTGGTAGAATTAAACAGAAAGAATCTAATGATGGATGCCGTCAAAGATAAAAAAAGAAGTTTAAGGTAGTAGACCAAATGTAGAGAAGTGACCTCTAAAGCTTCCTTCACTTGCAGGAGCAACCTCCTTCCCATAAATTATAGGAAGGGTTTAAGTACCCACTAAAGCTGTTATGGCCTATAAATATGCTTCCTAATAAAGACTCAATGGATAGTTTAGATATACACATGGCTATGTGGACCATGAGTATCCCATATGAATTACCCATATGAATTACCCCTGGGATATATCAATTATACCGTGTATCAAGCAATTAATGGAGTTTTCCTCAGTTTATCAATTTTCAGAGCGAAATATATCGCAGTATTCTCCATCCCCTCATCAATCAGAGCTTGCTTAAAGGTACTAAACATTTGGGCAGGTGGTCGAATGCCCACATCCAACATCTGTTGAAAGTATTTACAAGCTTCATGCAACTTACTTTCATGGCACAAGTCACTGATTAACCTGGAGAACATATGCATTCCAGGAAGGATTCCCTTGGCTTTCATCTGATCCCAAACTGCCATTGCCATATCCAATCGCCCTTCATTACAAAACATCCTCACCATTATCTCATACGTGCTTACAGTTGGCTCACACCTCAACTCTCTACTCATTCTTTGGAAAACCGAGTAAGCTTCTTCAGTTCTTCGAGCCTTTATCAGGTGATGTAGAATTATGTCATATGTTCGAGAATTTGGACCAATCCCACATGTTTTCATCTCACCAACCACCCGACACGCATCATCCATTTGCATTGACCAGCAGTATGCCCCAACAAGAGCATTATAAGTAGGTGTTTCTGGAGCAAAACCACTAGCCTTGGATTTTTCAAAGAATTCAAGAGCTTCATCCAATCTCTTATCAGAACCCAAACCATTAATCAAAGTACAATATATATGGGGACTAGGCCTCATATTCCTTGCTTGCAACTCATGATAGAACCCAATGGCCTCATCATATTTTTTAGCCTTACAATAAGCATTGATGATTATACCATAGGTAACAACATCAGGCTCAAAACCCTCATCCTTCATCTCCCTACACACCTCATTCACCCTCAACAAGTTTTGCTGCTGACTCCACCCTTCTAACAAAATGGTGTAGGACTTGACATCAGGCACCAACCTTGTGTGCCTCATTTTGTCAAACACCTCTTGTGCTTTCTCAACACATTTGGACTTGCAAAGAACATCAATCAACCTATTGAAATCCGAAACTTGAGGCTTCAAACCATACTGTTCCATCTTCTCAAACGCCTCCACTGCTTCTTTGACTTTCCTAACTCTTGCATACCTTCGAGCAATGAAGGCAAAAGTGTCAGTAGTCAGCAACTTTCGACGCTTCATGTCATCCACCAAATTCCAAATCATCTTGAACTGTCTGATCTTACCCAGTGCCTCAATCAAAGCATGGAAGCTCTCAGTGCTGTGCTTGAACCCTTTTTGCTTCTCAGCCCAACGGAAGAATGAAAGAGCGAGAACACCCGCGTTGCTAAGCTTGTTCAATACCTCAACGACCAGCTCCGGCGACATCTCCACCGGAACATCGCCGAGAGAGACGTCAACACTGCAATCACGACGGTTGGATAAGATTTTGCAGATTCTTTCAGCATCTGGGTTGGGTTGAGTTAATGTATGAAAGGAGAAAGTGTGATTTTTAAGAGACCCAGATGGGCTTTGGGGGAGTTGGATGGAATATTGACGTTCAAAATTTGAACTTGATGAAGGTTTTGAAAGCGGAGCAAGATTGGGGAAGAAGGGTTTGGTGAATCTTTTGAATGATCGTGTTAACGCCATCGAAACCTGATTTGGAAGAGACAAGCTTTTTTTTTTTTATAACAGAGACAAGCTTTTAATAGATTCAGTAAAATGCTGGTTTGCAACGTATAGTGCCACTCATAAATTAATAGAGGGGAAAAAATTAGTATAAATAATCACGATTAAATGTTAGGACAGGTTATAATCACTAATCGATTCTAAATTTTTAATGACGACGATTGAAATATTTTAAAAAGTTAAATTTAACTCAAATCATTAATTTCTTGCTTGTAATTAATGAGGAAGAGATTCTTTGTACTTGTATAATATTTCATGCGAAAGATCACATTCGAGCCACAAACAGAACACAACGGAGTATTTTGTTCTGTTCTTCTTGATTTTAATTTTTATAGTGAAATTAAATTTTCTATTTTTAAAAATGTCCTAAATATAAAATAAAATTCCACATGTTATATCTAGCAATTACTTTTGAAGAATGATCGCAATTCATTTATCACAAGAACATAAATCACGAAGTTAAGCAAATTCTGATGAAGAAACTATTATTTTATTTATTTTTTTCCTTATTAAAGTTATAAAATGCGAGTGAGTTAGGCAATGTGTCTTACATTTTATTAGGAGTTTAAGGCTTTAAGGCATAAAAATATGGGAAAAATATTTTTCGCAGATTAAAAAATTATCTCCAGTGAATCCAAAACGACATCATTTTAGAGTTATAAAATTAAAAAATTATAATAATAAAGATTAATATAATTTTACAATAAATTAACATTACAAAAATACTATGATTTCTGTCACAAAAATAATGTTATTTTGAGCTCACCAGAAATAATTTATCTACATTGACGGAAGAAATCTTTACTCTAAAAATATATCATATAATTAATTCAAAAAACTATTTTGAACATTATCTATATAATTTTTCTTAAATTTCACTTCAACCTTACCTGTCAAATGAAATTCTTTACTCTTAAACTTCAATTCACACACTTCTGACAGAGAGTCAGAAAGCTACTGAACTGAACTAAAATAAATCTCTCTCTCTCTCTCTCTCTCTCTCTCTCTCTCTCTCTCTCTAATTATCATTAAATCAACGCTAATTATCCGGATTAGTTACTTATTTCTATTATCCATTTCAACTGTTGAAAGATTTATCTTTCTCAGGGGACGCCAAGATAGAAAAAGTTTAACAAGAAAAAAATAACATTGGTTGGGAATAATAAATCTTTGATATTCACATAATACATAATCATTTACTAAAATTAAAAAATAGTACATATTCCTTTACTAAAATTAAAAATAACTAATACTCTAACCAGAAATAAGTGATATCATGCTATGAGTTTTCAAAGCTACAGCAAATGCTGAAAATTTCTAATAGGTTACAGTGTCATTAGACTGACCAGTAACTGTTCCACTAATCACATTAAGCACCAATAAAATTGGGGCACCACCGATCCCCAACTTTAACAAAGTTTTTAGCACTTCCATCTGTCTCAAAGTTTGCAAGTAACTACATTTGGCACGTGCAAGCCTGCAGGACCAGGAAAAATCCACTACAAAAAAAGGTGCAAAGGATAGGAGAATGGAAAATGACAATCATATCTTAAAAAGAATGAACTTTCTGCTCTAATCGTTCATAATCTCTATGGAAATGAGGAGACATACAGAACATACAGGAAGAATATCCTCCTACTAATTCATGGTATTGGATGATCTACCACAAATATATTGCCTTCCCCAATCCAACTCTGATGTGATGTCATCAACACTCACTTCCCCTCCTTCCAAGATTACTATTACACTCTGGTGGTGACCAAAGAATGTGTTTTCACTAAAAGGAAACTTCTACTGGTCGATGAATCTTGGAGCAATAGACAGCACAGCTACCTAAAATGTTTCTATTCTGGTGTCTATTCACTGGCACATATTGGTTTGTGAGTCCCAGTCATCAAGAAGGCTTGAAACAGAACCATCAAGCTTCTTAGCCTGAGGACCTGGCTTCAGAACATTGACATCACCCCACTGGGAGCATGGATCCATCCACCAACTCCTCCCCCCAGAACACCATGCCCCTGGGGTAGCTCGGTTGCGACCACGATGGAGGATCTTTTCATCAATCATGTCCAGCACAGGGTTATCAGTTTCAAACTGTCTTGCAAAAGCAGCTCCACTTTCTACTATCTGATCATAAACAGAGGCATTAAGGAAGTGCGGTTCCATCCTTGGAGGATTGTCCCAGATCATATATCGTAAGTCACCATTTACTGTTGTGTTCTTAAATTCTGGTGCATTGCAAATAACTGAATGAAAGTAGCCTTCTTGAGATAACTTCACATTTGTGAAATACATCAGTAATGTTCGAGGTAAATTATCCCAACCAAAAATGCAGAACTCCAGAAAGGGTCGGCTCAAGATTACCCATGGTGAACCTACATGGCAAGGAAAGCATTCAACACAAAAAATAAAAATAAAAAAAACCTCAGATATAGATAGTGTTGCACAGAGAGAGCATGAAAGAAAAGATTTGCCTGTGAATAGTTTGAATGCATCAGGTGTTGCCCTCTTCTCTGTAGCTTGAAAAATTTGACTTCTTCTTGCCAAATATAGCCCAGGATCAACTACAATAGGCTGGAATCTATCGCTCCTGCATAGGCAAATAAATACATAAATAAATGATCTGCGACTTCCTGAATAAGTGCAACAAAGTAGCAGATATATTTAGAGTAGTGTTCGTACTCTTTCCATCCAAGGTCACTCGTGTGATCAAGGAAATTGAGGTCTCTCCTAACGGAAGAGAAAACGTGGGACAAATCTGATAAAGATAACAGAGCATGGATCAGTAACTTAGAAGAGTCTGGAAAGAAGGCAAACATCAAACTGAGATATGAGAATACCTATGGACCTTAAAACAAGCACAATTCAGTGAATAAAATTCAGAACAATATGAGCATTTCTCTCCCTAAAAACATAATAAAATAATGACTGTAAATGTTCTCGTACTGCAACTAAAACAATAAAAAGTACAACTAATAAAGATGCCCAGTTCTACTGGCATAAGAGGAATACCGATGCTTATTTATAACGCAAGGCCAAGCCTCAACTAGGAGAACCAATGCAGAATAGAATGTTGCCACTTGTCAATCAAGAGTTTTATGATAATCTGTAGTTAAACTCAACACTTTCAGTTCAGCCAACCCCAATTGCTCTGCAAGTTTCGGAGGGTTCACTTGCAAGACATGAAATCATTGAAATGCCTTGGGAGATTCTAGTAAAAACAATGTGCCTGTGGTTGAATGCCTCAGTAACGACCTCTAACATGGAGGACATATTCAAAAGCCTATCTCTTAGTTACAAACCAAGAAACCTGCTTTTTCAGTATACGCCTAATATTATGAAACCAAATTTTACTGTCACTATCTTTGTTCTTTCTTTACTGCTTGCCTCAGACAACTGCCCTTTAATGATATCTCTGACTCTTCATAAGATCTTCCACGTAGTCTTTAAATGATATAATCAAGATGGTTCAACATCTTATGATTTCTATCTACGACCAGCAGTATACTACAGTAGCAAGTGTATCTGAGTGAAATACATGCAATTTTTTTCTCTTTTTTCACCAGAATCACAATGAAAGTGTTTAAAATACAAAACTTCTCACAAATATGCTGCAAGCTCCTACTTGAAGCATGTCAAAATCAATACGTCATTTTAGTTATTTACTATTACTTCCAGTAGCAGATGTATATATGAGTGAAATGTATCCAGATTTCCTTGCTTCACCAGAAACTTAATGTAAACAACCTCTAATATGTTGTCAGCTCCTCCTAGAAACATTTTACTATCAACATGTTAGTTTTGCTATTTATGATAACTTTTTTGGCTCAAAAACTGATTGTGACACTTTAGCATGCCAAATTACATCCTCTAGTCACTATATCAGTCAGACTATTTACTAATTTACCATTAGAAACTTCATTCCACCTTGATATTCCACATCATAAGCATGCTTAAAAATTCCCTCCATTTAGAAGCCCATGCCTCCAGTCTTATTAGATCTGTATAACAAGATCAGTATTTCAATTTATCAATTCATGACCAAATAAGAATAATCACTCGAATCCCATGCAATCAGAAGAATTGACTTGGTCCCTTATCAGATTTTGGCAATTGCAAGCACTTAAGATATTCAACCATCTAAGGCATAAATAGCATCTCTAGCTTAGAACCAAACTCTTCCACTTGGAAATTAATATGCAATACCAAAGCAGTTTGTCAAACATGCCCAGGAAAAACCAATTTTGGTAGGATGTAGCCATGTAGGAGCGAGAAATGCATTCATAAAAGGGCTAAACTTAACAATGGTAAACATTTAAAATGACTTCAAATGCATAAAATAACCTAAAATCATTCACTAGCAAACTGAACCAGACCAAATGAAGAATTTCAGTTGAGTTTCTTCAGTACAGAGGGATGAATTTGAAGAATCTCTTCCTCAGAATTTGTTATTTGTTTAATATAACAATAACTGCTTTTTTTGTCTGTAAACCCCAGAGGCACAACCAAGGGGGTCAAGAGGGGGCAAGAGCAACCTGAACCATCCCACTTAAACACCCTTCTAGAAGTACCCTCCTTCCCCCTTAAATACCCTTCAACCATCTCTACCTCCTAACTCCTATCTATCTTCTTACATGTGACCCCTCTTTCAACATGATAGCTCTTTTCCCTTTTTTTGTCCTCCCCTTAACTTTTGTCTTGGCTTCACCTCCTAGCTGTTACCACACACTCCTTATGTATGGACAACTAATCAGCTGGAAAACCTGCCTTTTCACCTTAGTGTGCTATACAAATTCAATTATATAGCCTGAATCATGGTCGGCTCCCAGTAAAATGTAACTTTTTTCAGAAAACCAACATTAGAATTCAAAGTAACAGATGGACAGGCCTCAGTTTTATTAACCTGCTGAAACCAATCCAATGTTATAACCTGAAGATATCTCACTATTGTTGAAAAAATATAAACCTTAAACTTCAGGATTCCAAATTAAAATAATTAACATATAAAGAAATCTAAAAATAATGGAAACTTACAGAAAGTATCATTTTATCACATAAAACCGATATTATTAAGACTTCAATGCAAGAGTCTTTTTAGACCTAATCAAACAGAATTCATGAAATTCCAAAATAAGTAAGTAAAATTAAGATGCCAAAAGAAATTTAAAAAAAGAAACACGATTATGAATACTTATACTGAATACTGATATACATAAATTCAAGCTGATCATATTAAACATTCAATGATAAGACACCATTTTCCAATAATCTGGGATGAGTAAAGGGAGAATACAGGCATCTTAGAGCACACACGTTGGTTTGAATATTAATTCTAAAGAGATAAAGTATCCAATTAATAACCGCATCTAAATTTTCTACAACAAGCGAACCTGACAAAAAAAAGGGGTGAATTAAAGGAACAAGAAATGAAGATAAAAACAAAGCTCCTAAAAAAATTGCAAAAACTTCCAAATGATTTCCAAGCCACTGCACATACAACAATCTCAATATTGAATAACCCACAATCAAATTCATAATATTGAATTACCAAACTCGTTGCTTTGAAGTTTTTTCTGGGGTAAATTGATTTGAAAAGTAATCCTACATATTCAAGTATCCAATTAATACCACACCAATCTTTGTAAGGAAACATCCAAAATCAAATTCAAGGTATAAATCCATGGACAAAACAGAAATGACCAAATTGGCATACCATCCTGAGACATGAGAGGATAATCACGTGCACTCAAAGTGATAAACCAATTCCACCCACTATCCAATTTCAGCATAATCGCCGCAGCTCGGAGAGTGATAGCAATATTGGAAGAGCCCAAGTAGGTGACATAATCTGCCTTGCCGACAACATCGACGTTCCCAAAAGCCCGAATCACCGGCACCGACCTCACGGCGGCAGCCAAGACATTCCTCTCTTCGTCCCTGGCATCCTTCCCAAGATGAAGGAGGTACCGATTCCGGGGATGATAAATTGCCAACAACAACCGCAAGATCCGATCCTTATCTTGGTGGCCACCGGAGATAAAGTATGCAAAAGCAGGAGGGTAGGGAAAACCATGATGAACAATAGAGGGAAAAGACTTTGGTGAGCTGAAGGCAGAGAAGGAAGACATCAACAGAAGCATGAGAGAGAAGAATGCTGCACTGAATAGCGTGAAAAGCCATTTCCTCTCAGCTCCCATAATAATAGTGAAGAAGTATGTATGGCACTGCTCTCTCTCTGTCGGTGTTGGGGCATATGGGTATGGCTTCTTCTGGTGAAAGCAACGATTTTGAGAACTGGGTCACGCTAAAGTCTGGGTTTTGATACTCTTCCTATTAATGGGTCGTTGAAGATCTTGGGTTTTCTTCGTTTGGTGATGATGGGCATGGAAGCAATCAAACTAACAACACAAAAATACACCTAAAATATTAAAAAGAAAATGGTGATGGAAAAAAAAAAAAAAAAAAAAAAAACCCAAATCAGAAACGTTCATAAATTGCTATTTTCTCACTAATTCAATGCTCAAATCTCAACCTCCTTTTGTAGAATCCTTGTGAGAAAAAAAAAAAAGGCGAACTTCGTGAGAGGGCTAGGGTTTTTTTCAGGTTAGATTGGTTCTTGTGTTAGAGAACGAAATGGAGATCACGGATTTCTTCCTGTCTTTTTCTTTTTCTCTCTACGTTCTCATCGTCATTATTGATTGACGTCTAATTTCAGGTTTATTTTTAAACAACCCAACAAAATAATCAAATTAAATATATGTATAAAGAAAAATAAAAGATTGACACACAGTAAAAAGTGCAGAAGTATGATACTATTGTTCGATTATACTTTACTTGTGGGGGAATAGTTGACTGCTATTCTAAGCGCCACGTTCGCGCGTAGATACATTTTCTATCACAAACACATGTCGTAGCATGTTGAGATTTGGTTCCACTCTTCTCGTCAATAGGATGAAACTGTGTTTTACACGTGCTCGTTCAGAACGTGGGGTAAAATTAATTTATTGACAGCCTATGTTGTTGAATTGAAACTGATGAAAACATTCGTATCCTAATATAAATTGGAAAAAAATAATTGCTACTCGTTTTTTATAAAACTGGGATAAGAATCATAAGATATTATCTCTATGTTTTTTATATTTTATTTATTCATTTTAAACACCGTTTGATTAAAATATCAATAATATAGAGAAAGAGTGAAAGTTAATTGAGTATCTAGAGTAGACTACAAAAAATAAGCAGAATATTATATTCCATGAAATTAATATAATTTTAATTTTTGTATTGTAGTACGTTTGTATTTAACTGTTTCGACTTTCGAGTTAACAGGTATTACAGGATGGATATTTTTTATAATATAACAGTTAAATGTAGTTCGAGAATAGATTAAGTTAAATTTAATGAGAATTGTGTCAGTATGGATAATGTGGATGATAAACTCCTTTTTTTTTTTTTAGTAAAAGATGATACACTCCTCAACACAATAATAAGTTAATAAAGTACGTTTACTTACTTTAAATAACTTAAAATTATAAATAATTTAAAATAATATTCAGCCAAAAAATTATTTTTCTTGTCAAATTAAAGTATTTGTATGAATATTTACCAAAAAAAAAAAGTATTTGTATGAAATAAGTTAAAAAAAAAACATTTTTGAAAAAAATTATGAAAACTCATCAGGTGGCCAAAAACTTCAAAATTTTGACCAAAGAGTTGGGAAACTGGGTGGGTGTGGATGAGATCGTGGAACGATATCGTATGCATGCATCGGCAAAAACAAATGTTATTGAATATCACATAAAAAAAACGTGTCGGGACACGACGCTCGTCGATGAAAATAAATGGGAATTTGAAATTTTATTAAATACTACATGTGAAATGTTTTTAGAATAATCATTTATTGAAAAAAGTATTTGTTTTTTTAAATGATATAATTTTATATCATTTTAAATCTTAATTAATGATTTTCGCCAATCAACGGTTATGATTTGTTAGATCAAATTTATTAATTAATTAATAATTCACAATAAATCATCACATTTTATTGACATAAATCAACAGTTATGATGTAAAATGATATAAAATTAGATTCTTTAAGAGGAAAAATATTTTTTCCTAATTTATAATATGTAAATTTATTTCCTAACGTGAAATACAGATGTTATTTTTAATTTTAGATATCAATACTTGAATCAGTTAAATGTAAAATTTCCATTTTTATACAATGTTAATATTTATTTGGAGGACAATTATGTTCATCAGTATAAGTTAAATTTTCAACCTTAACTATTAATCTCACATACATTTAATGACTTACGTGATTAAAAAATTAAAATAAATTAATGATTAATATAAAATATAAAATTTATTATTTTACTGAGGTATAAGTTGATCCTTTTTCTATTTATTTATATGATCAAGACGTTAATATTTTTTTGTGTTATTTTTTATTCAGTGCATAATATAAATATTTATCCTCGTAATTAAGTTATTAATATGTTCAAATAAAGTTACATTTCTTATAATGTCCTATAAGGTATATATTGTCATATTGACATGATTTTGAAATAGTTTTTACTACCCGTATTATAAATATTTATTCTTAGTGTATATTATATATATATATATAGAGAAATTAAAAATTCAGTCACTGGACCGTCCAGTGCACTAAGTTCTCCCGCGAGAACTTAGTGCAATTAATATTACAATGGTGTTCTTAGGGTGTTCTCCCGGGAAAACATAGTGCACTGGACTGATCTTTGCATCGAGTCACTGTACACTCACTAAACTCTCTCTCTCTCTCTCTCTCTCTCTCTCTCTCTCTCTCTATATATATATATATATATATATATATATATATATATATATATATATAGAGGGGGTAGGATCTTTTGACACCGGTGTCAAATTTGAAGTTTTACACCTCATCTGAGAGCCGTTAGATCAAAAAAGATCAACGACTCTGATTTGTAAGTATGTGACACCATTGATTTTTTCGATCTAACAACTCTCAGATGAGGTGTCAAATTTCAAATTTAACACTGGTATCAAAGGATCCTACCTCATATATATATATATATGGGTCAGAAAATTTCTACACTGGTATCAGATTAAGAAGTCTTATACCAACTCGCGGTCATTGATTTGATTAGATCTAACAGCTCAAATATCTAATAAATCATAACCATTATATATAAATAGGACCAATGATCACGATTGAGAGTATAATTTATATTGGTATAAAATAATCCTGACCCTATATATATATATATATATAAAATATTTCTTTAATCAATGGAGATAAGTTATCTACGGCGAGCCCAAAAAAATGTTGTTTTAAGGTTGATAAAAAGTTATTTTTATAATTTTAATTTATTGTAGGGTTATATTAGTCTTTATCATTCAAAAATTTTAATCTTATAATCTCAGGACGACGTTGTTTTTGGTTCACTGATGATAAAATTATCTGTAATTACTGGGGGAAAAAACATATAACAAAAATTATCTTTAAAACCTCCAAAATTATATCGTTTTGAGGGTTGATATAATTAATAAAGGGTGTTTTAGTAAAATTTATATTAAAAAACAAAATTCTTAAAATATCCTTTATGAATTATCTTAATCCCTAAAATGACGTAATTTTGAGATTGTTGATGATACCGTGGCAGGATATTTTGTTTCCCATATGTATGTATATAATTATGTATGTATGTGTAAAATTTATATTTTTGTGCAATACAAATATATATTTATTAATTTAAATATTAATATGCTTATACAGAAATTTTCTATTTACGTGTAATGTAAATACTTATCTTTGTGATTTAGAAATTTAAAAAAATATTTACTCATGACATTTAAATAATAATAAGGTTTTACATTAATTGTACGTGTTAACAATGTAGGAAGGTATCTTCGAACTATGATGAGGCAAGATAGAGTCTCTAAGCATTTATATGGTGGGCTGGTTGAAAAAGTAAAGAGCAAGCTTAGTAGTTGGGAACAACAATGCCTTTATCAAGTAGGAAGGATCACTCTTTCACAATCTGTTTTGGCTGCAATTCCTTCCTATCAGATGCAAAGTTGTAAACTCCCTCTGATGGTGTGTGAGAATATAAAGAAGCTGCAAAGAAATTTTATCTGGGGAGATAAAATTAATGCCCGTAGACATCATCCAATTAATTGGAATGTAGTCACATCTCCTAAACTTCATGGTGGTATGGGGTTGAGAAATTTAACTAAGATGAATGATGCTTTTCTGGCAAAAAAGGCCTGGAAAATTTATACAGAACCAGAGCATCTTTGGGTGCAAGTGCTTCATGCCAAATACAAGGTTGGTACAAGGTCAAATTCTCTCTTTGTTGCAAAAAATAATGACTCTAGTTTGTGGAAAAATGTTTGCAGATTGTGGCATGTTATGGAGAATAATATGGAATGAGAACTTGATAATGGCAAAGAGGTTAGGTTTTGGAAGGCTGTTTGGCTTCCAGGTTCATGTAAATTGGAAGATTTTGCTGAAAATGAGGATATTATGAGTCTGGAAAATGTAAAGGTTGCTGATGTTGTAAGCTTTTCAGGTGAGTGGGATTTTTCTAAGCTGATTAGTTGGTTACCTTTGAATATTGTTGATATTATCCGAAGTGTTTTACCTCTTATTGTCAATGATGGTCCTGATAGAAAGATTTGGGGAATTCAAAAATCTCAATCTGTTTCTGTGAGTGTCCTTTATGATTATCTGTCTAATTATGAAGTTATTGATGATGCTACTAAAAAGACTTGGAATAGGCTTTGGACTTGGAAGGGTCCTCAAAGAATAAAAATATTCACTTGGAAGTTGCTCCATCAGAGACTATTAACGAATAGTTATATGTCCATTTGGAATGGTAGTGATGGTACGTGTTCTTGTGGAATTGGGGAACCTGAAGCTATTATCCATGCTAAAGTAATTTGGGATTGTCTTATTCCTATTAATTTCAGCGTTGTCTTCTTTAATTCTACGATAGAGCACTAGATTGCTATTAATTTTAGCGGTAATTTCATGGATAGTAGTCAAGATAAATGGTTGTCTACTTTCTAGGTTACTTGCTGGAAGATTTGGAGCCGGAGGAATATGATGAATCATGGTGAAGAGGTGCCCTCGGTTGGGAGTAAAGTATAAATAATTAAAAAAATTGTTTCAGAGGTTGATAGTGCTGTTACAAATCAAAAGTCTTATAATCCAGGTCCTCTTATCAGCAACGTCCTCGTGTCTTGGAATTTTCCTGAAGATGGGTTTGTGAAGGTAAATACGGATGGAGCTTCCCGTGATAATCCTGGCTTGGCAGGTTGCGGGGGTGTAATTAGGAACTCCCAAGGTATTTGGTTGGATGGATTTGCGTATAAGTTGGGTTTCTGCTCTTCTTTTAAAGCTGAATTATAGGGTATTCTGATGGGTTTGGAAAGGGCTTGGAGCAATGGTTACAGGAAAATTATCTTAGAAAGTGATTCGTTGTTGGCAATTACTATGCTCACCAAATGTAATGCAGCAGTCCGTGAGGTGCAGTTGGTTTCTCGTATACGGATGTGGCTTGGTAAAGAGTGGCAGGTTTCTCTCCATCACAACTTCAGAGAAGGCAACTCGTGTGCAGACTGGTTAGCTAACTTTATTTTAGATTCTGCTGAGTAAGCTGATCAGTGC